GGTGGGGGGCGGGGAGGTTCTGGGGCTTGGGCCGGACTGGTGGAGACAGATCTTCCCTGGGGTCCTGCATCCCCACCCGGAGGTACCCTCGCTTCCCTCCCCCCAACCCCTTCGCAAAGACTGTTCCCTCCGACCCCGCACTCACCCGCCAGGGTCCCAGTCAGAGCCAGGGCCCCCGAGAGCAGCAAGAGGAGGGTTCCTGGCAACTTGACCCGCATCCTCCGGCTCCGGGCACAATCTGAGTCCCCTCACAAGTCAGTAGAGACTTGATAATAGGAAATGCCGGTGATGCTGATTGGCTTCTGTAGAAACTGGACAGCCAATGGGAGTGATAACTGGTGTCACATGCCGACTAGACTAAATAATTTTCCAGGCACTCCGCCAAAACAGGGTTTATTCTGGAAAAGGATAAAGCAAAACCACCGCAGCAGTGTGAGGACGCGCACCTCCAGCCAGCTGGCCTCCTGCAGCGTTCCACCCCTCTCCCTAGATGGCCCCTATTATTTCCCCACCCCCGTAAAGTTTAAACAGGAAGTCAGGACTAAACCCTAACAGGAATCCCAGCTCCATCTATAGACCTCTCAGTTTCTGGGGTCATTTTTCTTAAAGTGCCAGTTCACTTTTATCATTCCCCCCTTTTGATCAAGATCTTTTTTCTAAAAGCATCATTAATCAATAGTCAGGTCTTCAGGTCTCAGGTTTTCCAGTCTTCAGCCTTTTGTCTCTCAATGTCAAGAAGGACTCCCTCCAAGTGCCATTTCTTACATCAAGAGGAGAGTGCATGGATGGGGAACAGCTGGTGTCCAGGGTTGATGGGCACCAGGAGCAGAACTTAAAAACACTAAGAATTAAAGGTAGAATTAGAACATAGCAACCTAGCTTTTACGGTAGGTATAAACCAGGAGCTCCGGCTGCGCCCCGAACCCCCGCCCGGACCTACTTGGACAGCACGCGCAGCGGGATGACCTCCTCCCCCATCCGGTGCCTCTCCTTGTGCTTCTTCTTGTGCTTCCTTTTCGCTTTCAACAGGGACCCATCTTTTATGTCCCCAGCGTCCTTCTCCTCTTCAGTGGAGACTTCTAAGTCTTCAAGAAATAAAGACCAGGGTTAAGCAAAGGGAAAGCTTACCGACCTAGCCCTCACCTCCCCTTTATATAAGCACCTTTGTATTCCTTGCATGCTTCCGGGGCTTTTTTAAGGTTCTCTTTCTGAGCCGTTTTCTTGACTTTTGTCCTGGGGGTGAGGCACTCTGCGTCTTCAGACCTACTTCGCTTCCTCTTCCCGGTTCTGACTGAAGGTGAGCTGCTGACTTCAGCTCTTTCCCGTTTCTTTTTCTTTTTCGAGGGTGGCTTCTGGGGTTCCGCGGCTTCTCCCTCGGAGCCCTCAGACGCGGTCCTGGGCCGCTTCCCCGTGCAGCCGCCGCTCTCCTTGCCCGTGTCCACGTTCGGCCCTCCCGTCTGGAGACCGTCTTCCTTCTTCACTCGCACTTTCTTCTTCTTCTTCCTTTTCTTCTCTTCTGTAACAAGGCTGCCATTAGGGTTTTTTTTCCTTCAGCTACATCTATTGAAAATATACTTTCCCTAATAAACATCAACATGAAATTACTCACCAGCTACTCTAAGGGCAGGAATGGGCTTATTTTTAACCGTTTTAGGAAAGACACCAGGTTTTCTTGGTGCTTCTTCGGGTGGGTTGTTGAGAAACTGAAATGAAATCAGCACAAATTTTGTTGCCATTTAGAACACTTGCTAATTTTCTTTGCTTTTTCTTTTAGGTTCTGGACCTACCTCAATAGCTTTTGCTGCTTGTTCTTTTGTTTCAAATTCCACGAAGGCAAACCCCTTTGGGTCTCCAGTGGACTTATAGTGCGGTATGCTTATATAAACGACATTGCCACATTTCCCAAACACTCTTTCAATCCAGCTGTGATTAACATTTTTGGGAAGCAATTCCTAGGACATTAGAAACACAACTAAACATAAGGATTTTTACTCAAGGTCAATAAATCCTTGAACATTAAAAAAAAAACCAGGAGCTCAAGCTTGTAGATAATGAGATAAAGACTATTATCATCTTAAATAGATCAAAATTCTTGATGATAGATTCAACAACCAGAAAAATTTGGTAATTCATTTCCTTAGATGTCACCTGCTTTAAATTTTGACAGCTTTAGTTTCAGGTCACCAGACTGTGTCGTTGCCGTCAGGGTTTTGTGCCTTCTTTAGGTGTGACACTTGTATTTAAGAGTCTACTCCCTGTAGTTTAGCAGCACAGGGGTTAGTCAGCAGTATCTGGTAAGGGTCCTTCCAGCGTGGCTGGAGGGGATACTTTTTGAGATGTCTTTCCCAGTAAACAAAATCTCCAAGTTGTAGAGTATGAATTTTTAGGTTTTCATTTCCCTGTGGTGCATGGTGAAACGATTGTTCTACTAAAGCATGATAATTGTTGATGGAAGCAATGAAACCTTTACAATATTGAAGTATGTCTCCTTTCACCAACTGTGGTCAGGGGGCAGGAGCCCAATGTATAAGACATTCTATGATTATCTTGAAAGGTGAAAGCGTATGAATCCCAAAAGTGGTAGATCTGAGATTTAAATGACTATCGGCAATGCTTTTGGCCAAGGTATTTAAAGAGTTTCTGTAAATTTGCCAGTTGGGTCTTAATAATACCATTAGTGAGTTCAACCAATCTTGAAGATTGAGGATAGTAAGCACGGTGAAAGTGTTGTAGGATTGGCCAAATAGCACAGACTTGCTTTAGCACCTGACCAGTGAAATGGGTTCCTTGATAACTGTGGAGTTCGAAAGGAGTTTCCCAAGTAGGAATAATCTTCTCTAACAGTACTTTAGCCACTGCAGATGCATTAGCTTGTCTGTAAGGGAAAACTTCAGTCCAGTGAGAAAACACACATGACTAAAACATACTTGTGTCCATGAGATGGGGGAAGCTGTATGAACTCTAGTTGCCAGACCTCAAATGGTCTGTATGGCAACTTATAAATGTCCAGGGGCAGGACTAACAGGCTTCCCTGAGTTGTATGTCAGACAGGTGAGACACCTAAGTAGGCACTTTTGCAGCCTTATTAATATTTCCCCACCAATATTTGTGCATGAAAGCTACCATTTTGTCATTAGACCAGTGTTTCAACGCATGTACAGTGATTAGGAGTAGGAATTTTAGTTTCTGGAAGGACTGGGTTGTTATTTGAGCCGAACCAATGTCTTCTCCTTATCAAACAAGCAGTTTTGTTTTTCTTCTTCTGAAGCTGATTATTGGTCTTCTCTGGCCAGTTTTTCTGTTATCAACTGAAGAAGCTTCTCTCTGGACCATGACAGAGGTTTGACTGCTGCTGACGCCTTTTAGGGAAGCATTCTTAGCAGAAATGCCAGCCAGGTGATTTCCTTTAGTTTCCAGAGAACCAAATTTAGAATGTCCTGGAATCTTAATAATGGCTAAGGCATCAGGTAGAAGTATAGCATCCAATAATTTCTGTACATATAGACCATTTGTCATTTTATCTCCATTGGAAGGAAGGAAACCACATGGTTTCCATAGCATTCCAAAGTCGTGAGCTACCCCAAAGGCATATCTGCTATTAGTATAAATGTTGACAGTTTTACCCTTTGCTAAAATGCAAGCTCGAGTGAGGGCATATAATTCAGCCTGCTGTGCTGAATTGGCCAGAGGCAAAGGTGCTGCCTCGATGATTTCAGAAAGGGCTACAACAGCATAACCTGCACAGTACTGACCACTGTCATTTTTTATTTTTAAGTATAGACCACCTGTAAACCTGAGAAATCAGCTTTATCCAGAGGAGTTTTCCGCAAATTGTCATGAGAAGTCAGGAGGCTAATGTCAGGCAGTCATGAGGGGCTTCCTCAGTCCCCAAAGGAGGAAAAGTAGCTGGATTAAGGTTATTACAATGTGAAAGGGTTAAATAGAAGTGGTTAACAATAGGATTTCATAGGAAGTAAGAAAACTGACTGAAAGATGCTGGGTGTGACGAGAATTCAGGAGAGCTTCTACTGCATGAGGCACAAAGATGGTGAGAGGGGGTCCCACAACAAGCTTCTCTGTGGCCTTGACCAGGAGGGCAGTGGCCACAATGGCTCTGAGGCAGTCGGGGCTGGGTGGGGGGGTCCCTGAGCTACAGAGTCCAGTTGTTGACTGTAGTATCCTAGGGGTCTATGTTGATCCCTCTGTTTCTGAGCGCACACTCCAAAGGCATTTCCTTCCTTTGTATACATAAAAAGGAAAAGAGGAATCTGGTAGTTCGGATGCCCAAGAGAAGATGGGTTTCTTAAAATTACCATATTCAAGGCCTCATAGGCCATGTCATCCTGTTCCTCCCATGAAATTGAGTCAGAACTGCCATTCCTTAATAAGACATATAGATGTTTTGCCATAAGAGAGAGATTTGGGGTCCAATCCTGGCATAGCTGACTGGTCCAGGAAAACCTCACAATTGGTGCTTAGTCTTGGGCCTTGGGAAACTTAGAACACCATAGACACTGTCTGGATCTAAGCGTAGACCTTGTTTCAATATCATATGTCCCAAATATCAAACCTAAGTTTGAGCAAATTATAATTTTTCTTTGGAAACCTTATATCCCTTTAAGGCCAAAAGTGTCAAAAATGGATGCTATCATCCAGTAAGGAAACCTGAAGAGAGCAAAGAAGTAACTCATCCACATATTGTATTATAACAAGGTGGAACCTTCAGGGAAAACTACATCATCCAAATCAGCCTTCAGAATCTGTGAGAAATAAGAAGAGCTGTCAGTAAAACCCTGAGGCATTGCTGTTTAGGTAAGTGGCTTTCCTTCTTAAGTGAAAGCAAAAAGGTACTGGCTAGCTTTATTGAGTGGGATGCTAAAGAATGCACTGCATAAGTCAATAACTGTAAAGAATTTACTTTCAGTTGGGATTGATGCCAGCAGCGTATAGGGGTCAGGAATGATGGGGTGTTGAGGGATAACAATGTGGTTTATTGCTCGTAGGTCCTGGACAAACCTCCACCCTCATCCCTTTGACTTTCTCACAGGTATTAGGAGTATTATAACTAGTGCAAGGAATAATAAGACTCTGAGTTACATAATCTTCTATTATGGGCTTTATACCTTGGACAGCCTTTTTACTTATAAGATATTGATTAATTCTGGGCAGAGGCTTTGAAGGATCAATTTGAACCTTGATAAGAGGTGCACTGTGAACTCTGCCAATGTCAGTTGAAGATTTTGCCCATAAAGAAGATGGCAGTTGGTCCAATAGGGACCATTGATCAGTGTTTTCAGATTCAGTTACTGTACCAGCAGAACAGCACAAATAAAAGATGCTGAAAAGTCATGTAATTCACCTGATTGGTGATTCTTATAGTTACCATCAAACTCTAACATTATTTCTCTTTTTTGAGAATAGAATATCCTGGCATGCTACTTCTCTAAGAAGATTCTGCCTAATCAATGGATAGGAGCAGAAGAACTAAGGAGAAAACAATGTTTTTTTTCTTAAGGGACTTAGAAAAAAGGGAATACATTCAGATATGTAAACCTGTTTAGGCTTATTTGAAATTCCCACTATGTGAAATGTCTTATTACTCTGAGGCAGAGGCTGGTTTATAACAGTGGGATTGAGCACTGGGAGTATAGCACCAGTGTCAATAAGAACAGAAATAGTTTTCTCCCCAATTTGAAGAAAAGTTTCTCCAAGATGATTGATGGAGAGGATTAGAAAAAGCCCCTGTAGTTCCTTGGAGCCCCATCATTGGCAATTGGGAAGACATGAAAAAGACTGGTTAGAAAGTAGAGAGCATCTTGTATGCTTGAACTTATGGCAGTCTCTTTTCCAATGTCCTTGCTCCTTGCTATAGTGGCAAAAAGTTGGAGTTCTCTGATTTCCCATAAGGCCTCCCATTTACCATGGCTGAAAGTCAAAAGTGTTGGCAATCTTACTTCTAGGTGACTTGTCTAGAGTACTGGAAGCCTCACTGGCCAAATTTACCAAGGCTAGGGTAGCTGTAGTTCCGCA